CATTAGTAGGGTTGTTTGGTCTTCTATAATCCAACCTAAGTCTAAAGGAGGGTTTGATATCATAGACCTTCCCACCCAAGACATGACACTCCCAATACAATGGATCAAAATACTCTTTTTCAATCCACAAACTCCATGAAGCGCTCTAGCTTGAGAACAAATAGAGAGACTTGTCCCCCTTACAGAGGAAACTACTGACCCAACAATATGGTTAGAAAATTGATCATGACTAATCTCAAGATATGCACCAAGAAACCAAAACGTACTAGAGCAATCAGACAGAGTGACAGTAAGACAAAACATCTCTAAATATCCCTTCTAGCTCAATCTCCTCCAAACATAGAGAAAACTCCCCCTACCGGATGAACATCCCCCACTGAGATGGGAGGAAGTCATACGATAACCCTAATTCAATAGTGAATGGATAAGAGACTTTTAATGATATTCTGCACATTGTAATGCAAATTCATGAAAAAGGTGGATAAAAAAGGGTATCACAAGGATTAAAGATATATGGGATAGCGATTCCAAGGACTGAACACCCCCTAACTCACTACTTGACAAACTCCCTCACTGCCACCAAGTGGAGGAAAGTCTAAAAACCATCATAAACCTAATTCCTCTAGATTGGGTTCGTATCCTCAAGAAAGGTAAGAACTTATAGGAAAGTGATTGGGTAGGTTTAAGAAATGAGCCTTAAATGATTGAAAATGTAACAACCCTCTCCCCAGACTTAACTACTCTAGTCTCCCTCTTTACTTTAAACGAAGACAATATAGTTGTCCCACATCTATAAAACAAGGTGATTTGGGTCTCAACGGAACAAATTTATAAAATTAGAGTGTTAAGTAAAGACTCCTCATCGTGATTGGCCTTCAGACCCGCTATAGATATCTCTGAATTACCGATTGATCTGGCTAACTGGATATGAGGGGATCAAAGGAAGCACAATCGAAACTATACTAGATCCCTACATACCTTTTAAGTTAAGTCTACCTATCGGATGCTTAAACCTAGAATCAACCTAAGAGACAGAGTCTCCTAGAGATGAACGCAACACCTGAGCCTAAGTAAAGAAGACATAAGTCAGATAAAATGGTTCAAATTGGTAAAGAGCAAAGCGTGCAAAAGTAGCATCTCTTCAATGGAAAATCGAACATCGCTGTCTCCCCATAAATGGTTGGTTAAGTGATAGATCCTTATTGGAAAAAGAGGTGTAGCTGAACCGTGGTGTAAACTCTGTATATCAACTTTCCCTAGTAGGAAAATCTCGGAAACAATATAACATATCTTTCTAGCATGCCCGGGTGCAGTTTGGCTATGGAGATGGCAGGATCGTGTATGGAGCCAACCTACGTAGCACGGCGAACGTGTTCGCGCCCCTTCACGTTCGCACGAACAGCTCATGAACATGTTCGGGAGAACAAAAAAAAAATTCTTGTTAAAAAAAATAAAAAATCTGAACATGACTCCAAGGCAAAAGTTGCTTGTATTGTTGTTTTACATAACATATATGTTCTTCAGATTTTTCTGAGAACGTCTTTTGTTTTTTTTTTTAAATATTTTTTATGTTCGTGTTCAGAGGATTTTGGGCGTTTGTTCGCGTTCGCCTCCGAACGCGAACACGGTGCTACGTAGGAGCCAACTGGGTACATAGATACAATGGCCATGGGGTTGGAAAGAAATCCTACTGGAAATATGGCTTACAGATCAGACAAATGACTTTACTCAGAACCTGTTTATCTTGGGTAGGAGAGCGATCCTCTGGGCCATATGGCAAAGAAGATGCCCCAATGAATGGGAAGGTGCTAGATTGGATGGTCCCGAGTTTACCGAATGTATCAGACAACAAATACAAACGGATATCTTGTACCAATGGGAAATAGTCAAGGAAGATATAATCAAGACCTTTCAATCATTCAGCAGAGTCTGGCTGGGGGGGAGAAAGGGGGAAAGGATAGGGAAGGTGGTGTGGGCTGGTGAGTCGGGTGAGGAAGGGGAAAGGTTAAGTAGGAATTACAAGTTAGTATTCAATGAATGGACTAAGATAGATCCCTTGATTCCCCTCCGCCTGATGGAGGAATTCCCCAATCCCTTCCCATCCCCTCGGAATGCTGTTGTCCCATTATCATGGTATGGCCTGGATGAGTAGCAGGGATAGTTCTTTATGTTCATCTGGCACCCAGGTCTGGGTGAAGAGGCTCAAGACTCATTTCCCACCTCCTCAAGATTATGTATTTAAAGGGACTCTGGACCCTGTTTCCAGCAGGTGCAGCTCCCCCACCAATAGATGGAGTGACAGGCACAGGTATACTAGTTGGGGGTGCTCATATCACCTCAACTAATATTTCCTGCAGAGTTAAAAAAAAAAAAAAAGGTTACAGTTTGTAATTGCATTTCAAACTGCGTCTTAGCAGTTTAGTCGGGGCCTGAGTTTCAAATTCAGTTGGAACTCAGGATGACCTTTTTAGCAGTCCAGTCAGGCTTTCAACTGCATTTGAAACTCGGGCCCTGACTAAACTGCGAGGCTATGCCCGCTTAGCCCTACGGGCCTTATTTGCAACAAGGTCGGCCGCCCTAAGTGAAGGCAGGCACGACAGGCCCTCAGGGCCTCATTTTCAGGGTACCCCCGCAAATGGGGAAATTCAGGCAGTTGCACAGCATCAGTTGGTTGAATGAACTCAGGCCCTGGGCCGCCCGTGTGAATGAATGTAAAGCAGGCCCTGGGCTGGGTACGGGTACCGGGCCAAGCACAGGCCGAAAGCAGTTGGGCACATGCAACTACTTTAGGCCCAATGCCTGCATTCCTCGTGACTGGGCCTCAGGCTACCGGGGCCTACTGGAAGCTTCTTG